ACGTTGTTGCACAAGCGGCAGCACCATTCATTCTCAGGATTGGAAGCCTATAGTTCAAAAACAACCGTCAGCGCAATATATCAACGTTGGTTTACATTGTATAAACCCTGGCCAGCGTAAGCAGGTCGCAAATTATGTCAAGCATATGCATTTTTCAAAGTCCGCAGAGAACCAGAACAAGGCACCGTGAACCCCTGTGAGGTGTAGCTCAGGAATCCATCGCAACAGCAACTGTTATCAAGGGAGAATCCTGGATCTTTAAAGATACCTTAAAAAACAGATTTGTTCAAAGATAGATGTGATGTGTTATCGTGATACACGTCAGAAAATTTTGGAGACGGTATTCTGAACCACTTTGAGGAAATTTTAACTTGGTTATGTAACACAGAGATGCCAAAATGTGCCGGAACTCTTTCCATGACTTAACTGTGCAAGCATTTCAACAAAGCTGACAAAGTTTGAGTACATCTCTTTATGTCGTTTCTTGTGTGAACCATTTTCCTGATTACGAATGATCCAGCGGTACACGATCTATCTAGACAATTTAACAGTACTTCCTTGAAACTTTATCTGAATGACAAGACGGATAATTTTGATTCCTGTAATTTGTCACTCGTTCATGAGATTATAAATGGATTGACCACTTTTTTGCGGAAAACTACTCTGAAAAACTTTTGGAACGGTAGCTTCAAGTGATGTCTTTCAGTATTTGCTCAAATGCTTTCTCGAACTATGAAGTGCTCTCNCTTGAGTATACAGTATTAATTTGGTGACCCTGAATATTTATGTGTATTCTATTATATGCAAACGATAAATAACAGACCTTTTGTGCCTTACCGGTTATCAGATGCTGCCTGTGGGTTTGGTGAAAACAGAATATGAAATCTTAAGTTGTCATGGTAAATTAAGCGGCTTAAGCCTAGTTGTACTGCCAGTGAACTACACAATGGGAGGCCCATATGCAGTAACCAGTTTGCAGTACCGCGGCTTCGTACGCCACAGCGATAGACTTGGCATTCATCTGCTCGGTAGTTGGGCTTCGAACAATTAAATTACAGCTTATGTTTCATCAGCGCATGTAGCCGTCCTTCAGGGAATTCTGTCTGTGTAGTGAGCAATATATATTGGGCAATTCAAGACGTTAGATGCACCACCTTTGGCACGTGGACCGGAAAAATTCGTGCACTGATTAAAATGGTCATCAATTCTACCGCACAAGCAGCTAGGACTATTGACTCGCTGCCCGTAAAACGTTGACACTGCCAACAACCTTCTTTCATGGAACTAACCAACTGGCAAAAGAATGGCCTTTTTCGTTAGTGTATAACACTGACGCCTCCCTTCACTCATAACAGTTTAAGATGCCTGTACAGCCGCGTAACAATCCATTTCAGGTTTGTCGGACAACTCAATAGGACAGTGTAACACATCCATGTGAGAGCAATCTCACAGCTATTCATCTCATGTACGAGCATCTTTGGAGTGTTGGTGTCCGCGGTAACTATGCTGCCTCCGATCAGTATACTATTGAGGAAGCTTTCNCAGTTTTTCTATGCTGATGCTCTGAAAGTGGCAGTATAAAAAACCGACAAAATTGTCTTTTACCAATTTTAGCCGATCAGCTACTGTGTAACTTATCAGTGACATTATTGTACTTACTTTGTCACGATGACTTATCGCAAGGGTGAAAATTATCTTTCAAGTCCGACAGTGTAATGTTCAGCGTAGCATATCCTGCAAATGCCGGAATTTCCTAATATCTCGCCTACTGGTAAATCGTAGGTGAATTTTAAATATCTTGCCCCGCAAGATGAGAGGAAGAACTTACTGTTTTGCATGGATGTACGTCTTTCAGTAGTCCATTTGGAGCCAACGTTCTGAAGTCGAGTTCTGTTGATAAACATTTTAGTTATAATAATGGATTTATTCCGAATGGTTCAGAGTCATAAGCACTGCGTGCATTTTTGCTACCGATTACCCTGAACTTACCAACACCTCGGGAAAAAACGGCACCAACAAAAATAACAAACACATACTGGGTGATCATTACAAATATTGGCTAGTTTTTCGTACCGCCGGATCAGTTGTGGTTGTGCTGTACTTTATATATGGTGCAAGGCTCAAATATGCATTTTTCACTTAGTTGTAGAAGGTGATCTGTTTCATCGTATATTTCACAATGTAGGTTGGAATATATATTACCGAGTGTGTGCATCTCGATAGTGTTACATTCATTTTGGCCTACCTTCGTATAGTTTTGAACCATATCATCAATAGTAGCTGTGCCAGATGAGGGAGAACCATCTGGACGTCGAAATTGGGACTCCAGTGTCCAGTGAGCCGATGCCGACCGGTGCCTGAATGAAGCCTAACACTTATTCATGAACTCTGCAAAATGTCATAAGTTCATCATAACCGGTGGATGCTAACAGGACCTATAAGTTTATGCAGGAAAGTTTAAATAATACGAATGCTAAGTTGGGGAATTTATTCGCCGGTTGCACTGACTAGAACGCCACTTGAGTTTTTACTTAACAACCGGCTAGATGTGGGAATCACGGGGGAGCTCAAGAAATAGACCCAACTCATTTTTTATGTATTTATTTCAGAAAAAAATGTTTTGGTCTGGCACGTAGGAGAGTATTAGTATGCCTGGTAAGTTGCGATTATTTTATCATGAAAACTGAATTGAAAATGTTTCCCATCTATGATCATCAACTCTCCAAAATGCTTCGTTTTGCTACTTGACAAAATGTTTCGTAGCAAATTGTCGAACTACATTCGTTTTCTATTAGACTATAATGTTGCTTCTTGTGTGGATTGTCAAACGGAAATTTGTTCTGCCCCAGACCACAGGGTTTGCTTATCGCTCTGCAGTTTGCCTCCGACAAACTCGAACAGACTCTCTATGATTGATTTTTCTTGTGAACGTCCAATGTAAAACGTGTGACAAAATTGTCAGCCGCAAATAAAGATGATAAAATGTTTTGGCGTCATAGAAGCGTATATGCAATAAGATATTTTCAGAACAAAAGTTATAACATGAATCTGGCATCCATAAATGCATTTAAAGAAAATAAGAGTGGAAAACAGAAGTCTACTCACATGCAGCGCTCTCATCTGCATTATTACTAACTCCGTACTCCCTTCATCGTCAGCTGGCAATCTGAATACAGTGCGGTAGTTGTAACACGTGGGCCAAAATGGTTCTGTAATACTGCCTCCGGGAAGAGACAGATTCGCACATCAGAGCACAGTTTTCTACAAAACTGCACAATGAAATCATCGTCACATTATAAATTGGATTTGTATGCTACGATGTGAACTTGGACATCTCGCAACACCGAACTAGTGTGTAGACCGTCTGGTGATTACCGATAACTGTGAAACCCTTGTTATGTACTGGACGCGTTTGTAAGTGCAAGGACTGAAGGAGCAAGCTCGAACAAATGCCTTGTCGGACCATGGATGTAGGAATCAGACTTCGGTCCGACCAGCGTTATCAAGGGTCGGTTCTGCACATCGAACTTGATGCGATCGATTGTGTAACGTTGAACAAATTGCAGGTATATTAAGTGTTACACGATTGTTCACATTACTCTAATTTTTTTCCAAAGCACAGTGCCACGGGAATATTCTCGACTCTTGCCCATCCTTATAAATGTTCAGCTGTTTCTCTTCTCAGCAAAACCAGCGGCGCACTACATATTATCTGCTTGAATTTCAGTACTGGCTTCCTTATACGAAGTCTATCGAGTGAAGTCGGAAAAATCGGGCATCCCGTGAATCTGTTCGAAAGTAATCAAGCGCTGCTAATCACAAATGGTAAAATTATGATCGTGCCCAGTAAAATGTAAAAACAGTCGTTATTATAAGTTGATGGTATCGCAGTCAACATTCAGAACTGTGTTGGAATGCAAAATGTTTGTGATAACGATAGTGATAGTGATCTCACTATAACCATAGGAGGCCAAACTGAGACTAACTGATTTACGCCGGACAATGGAACATGGTAGTTATTTTCGTCGGTTCACGGGAAATATGCACCCTTTGTTTTGGCTTTACTTCGTCCTGCATTGACTTGCCGATGACTTGTCTTTGTGCGGCAGTGCAAGATGCACGTTTTTACTGCCACCGGAACGTAGTGAGGGAAGATTCAAACTGTGATCAGCCAGCAAGCGCCGCGAGCGAATGATCTGGTTTTGGTTTAATATCACATTTCTCCGGTTCAGCCGAAGAGCTAATCACCCAGTCCATCCGCTTGAGTGTTTTAATCTGATAACACAAATGATCAGAAAACTTATTGCAACAGACATTGTTAAGAGTTGATGAAACATGCAATTGCAGTTTTAGTTCCAACGAGGGAGCTGGCTTAATCTCTGGCTTATGGTTTTTTTCTCGTCAATCAGCGTCTGCTGATTGAAACAGGCCCCGGGTCACACTGCACATGATTTCAGGATCTCAATAGTCGGCGCTTTAATATTGGATTTACAAAGTGTAGACCAAGCTTTTAAATTGGCCTTAAAATATATTATTTAACTTATTCTGGAGTCTTACCTCCCTGGGATATCTCGGTACAAATGTCATTTACGTTGTTGCACAAGCGGCAGCACCATTCATTCTCAGGATTGGAAGCCTATAGTTCAAAAACAACCGTCAGCGCAATATATCAACGTTGGTTTACATTGTATAAACCCTGGCCAGCGTAAGCAGGTCGCAAATTATGTCAAGCATATGCATTTTTCAAAGTCCGCAGAGAACCAGAACAAGGCACCGTGAACCCCTGTGAGGTGTAGCTCAGGAATCCATCGCAACAGCAACTGTTATCAAGGGAGAATCCTGGATCTTTAAAGATACCTTAAAAAACAGATTTGTTCAAAGATAGATGTGATGTGTTATCGTGATACACGTCAGAAAATTTTGGAGACGGTATTCTGAACCACTTTGAGGAAATTTTAACTTGGTTATGTAACACAGAGATGCCAAAATGTGCCGGAACTCTTTCCATGACTTAACTGTGCAAGCATTTCAACAAAGCTGACAAAGTTTGAGTACATCTCTTTATGTCGTTTCTTGTGTGAACCATTTTCCTGATTACGAATGATCCAGCGGTACACGAGCTACCTAGAAAATTTAACAGTACTTCCTTGAAACTTTATCTGAATGACAAGACGGATAATTTTGATTCCTGTAATTTGTCACTCGTTCATGAGATTATAAATGGATTGACCACTTTTTTGCGGAAAACTACTCTGAAAAACTTTTGGAACGGTAGCTTCAAGTGATGTCTTTCAGTATTTGCTCAAATGCTTTCTCGAACTATGAAGTGCTCTCCTTGCTGCTGCGAAAATCCGCCTGATATTTTGATACAAAAGCGGGTTTCTCAACGCCTTTCCCTCTTGAGTATACAGTATTAATTTGGTGACCCAGAATATTTATGTGTATTCTATTAGATGCAAATGATAAATAACAGACCTTTTGTGCCTTACCGGTTATCAGATGCTGCCTGTGGGTTTGGTGAAAACAGAATATGAAATCTTAAGTTGTCATGGTAAATTAAGCGGCTTAAGCCTAGTTGTACTGCCAGTGAACTACACAATGGGAGGCCCATATGCAGTAACCAGTTTGCAGTACCGCGGCTTCGTACGCCACAGCGATAGACTTGGCATTCATCTGCTCGGTAGTTGGGCTTCGAACAATTAAATTACAGCTTATGTTTCATCAGCGCATGTAGCCGTCCTTCAGGGAATTCTGTCTGTGTAGTGAGCAATATATATTGGGCAATTCAAGACGTCAGATGCACCACCTTTGGCACGTGGATCGGAAAAATTCGTGCACTGATTAAAATGGTCATCAATTCTACCGCACAAGCAGCTAGGACTATTGACTCGCTGCCCGTAAAACGTTGACACTGCCAACAACCTTCTTTCATGGAACTAACCAACTGGCAAAAGAATGGCCTTTTTCGTTAGTGTATAACACTGACGCCTCCCTTCACTCATAACAGTTTAAGATGCCTGTACAGCCGCGTAACAATCCATTTCAGGTTTGTCGGACAACTCAATAGGACAGTGTAACACATCCATGTGAGAGCAATCTCACAGCTATTCATCTCATGTACGAGCATCTTTGGAGTGTTGGTGTCCGCGGTAACTATGCTGCCTCCGATCAGTATACTATTGAGGAAGCTTTCGGCTATGCTATGGAGTCGCCCAAATACCTTATGAAGGATATTCATAGCTTTGAATGCATCCATAGTTTGCTGTTAGAAAAGAGTAGT